CTCCTCCTTCCTCCCATCCCATCCTTACCTCTCCTCTTCCTTCCCACCCCCTTATCCCCATAGTTACTCCTTCCTCTCTCTCTCCCACACTTTACCTTCTCTCTTCCCTCCCATCCTCAATAGGCCTTACCTCAGTCCTGCCTATATCACCCCAACCAGTATAACTAACGCCTCCTGATAATAGTAAATCTATTAGGACGCATAGGAACGAGATTGGGCCCCACAAACTAAGATAACCATTAGTCTCGTGGCCTCCATTAAGAACGGGGCTCATTAGGACAACAAAACAACAACGAGACCGTACCCCACTGGACCCCTTAGTGCTGGGACCCCATTAAGACCAAACCCATTAGACTTAAGAGTTAAATAATAGAGACCTTTAAATACCTATTACCCCTTAGTAAACATTAACCATTAAAATTAAATAGGTATAATTCTTCTTCCTTAAATAGAATGTGATTAATTACATCTCTCTCTCTCTCTCTCTCTCTGGTAGAATTATATTTAGAGTATAATTAACGTTAAATGATAAGAATTAATTTGGTGTAATTAATTTTTTTACCTGTGAGTTAATTAATTATGCAACTTAGTAATAGGTATTGTGTTTAATTATGTTCTTTAATTAAGTGTTATTATATGTAGTTAATTGGTGAGGTGAGGTGAGGTGAGGTAAGGTGAGGTGAGGTGAGGTAAGGTGAGGTGGGAGGTGAGGTAAGGTGGAGGTAAGGTGAGGTGAGGTGAGGTGAGGTGAGGTGAGGTGAGGTAAGGTGAGGTGAGGTGAGGTAAGGTGAGTTAAGGTGAGGTGAGGTGAGGTGAGGTGAGGTGAGGTAAGACGGGAGCAGCAGAAGCAACCACTGACAGGAAATTGCTTCTTGGTTCTGAGTAAAAATGTCAACATCATTTTAATATTCTGAGGATGGCAATAACCTTCAATAACTAAATAATTTGTATATCATAAACTTGATAAAAATACATTAAAATACTTTCTTCATTTACCCCCAAAAAAGTCTCTTGAAAAATGTACGTGTCAACAGAGAGAATGAAAAACAAATGAATAAGCGGAAGCGTCTACATTGCGGTGCGCTTTTAATGCCAACTATCGTGTGTATTTGTCTGCCTAATTAAAACTGTTTCAATATTAAACTCATAATAAGGATTGATTTACCAAAGAGAAGATAAAATAAATATCAATTAATCAGTATAAACAGGCACTGGGGCTGAGTAAACACGATAATAATGATAAAAATACAGAGAAATTCGCGTTCACAAAAGACCGCCAGTGTGTGTGTGTGTGTGTGTGTGTGTGTGTGTGTGTGTGTGTGTGTGTCTTTCCTTCGCCACACAAACACTAGATCACAAACACTTCATTACAGAGAGACTGAGAGAGAAAGAGAGCGAAGCAGTTGCCAGAGAATGTTATCTGAGGCAAGGGTAGGCAATACTTCACTGGGTGTAATTTCCTGTAATATCCTCACCACACTTCCTCACCACTATCTCACAATGCCTCATCACCACCGCGTATCAACAAATATTATATGTTTGTCTCTACACTCTGATTAAAATGGCGAGGAAAGGAAGATTTTATTTTCCGGAGAACTGATATTATCTCAGGGTTTGTTTTGCAGTGTTGCCATACGTGTGGGTTTTGTTTATAATAATAATAATAATAATAATAATAATAATAATAATAATAATAATAATAATAATAATAATAATAAGTCGTTCAGATGCTTCAAGAAAATCTTAAATAAATGGTAATATTATCTTCTTTATTTACTATGATGATGATGAAATATATTTAACTTGTTGGCTATGATGTTTTTATTTACCTTTACTTAATTACAACTCACCTGCCAGGAGTGTTGTAGATAATAACACTCAACCTCGTTTGTCCACACTTTCACACACACACACTCTATCCTCATTTTCACTCACTTTCACACACTCTATCCTCAACATCACCACACACTCTACTCTCAACTAACCACACTTCCACACACCCACACAATCTAACCACACCACCACACACCCACACAATCTAACCACACCACCACACACTCACACAATCTAACCACACCACCACACACTCACACAATCTAACCACACCACCACACACTCACACAATCTAACCACACCACCACACACTCACACACCCAATCCACACCACCACACACACCCACACACCCAACCACACCACCACACACCACACACCCAACCACACCACCACACACACACACAATCTAAATCCCACACCACCACACACTCACACACCCAACCACACCACCACACACTCACACACCCAACCACACCACCACACTCACACACCCAACCACACACCACCACACACCCACAATAATCTAACCACACCACCACACACACACACAATCTAACCACACCACCACGCACCCACACAATCTAACCACACCACCACACACACACACAATCTAACCACACCACCACACACACACACAATCTAACCACACCACCACACACCCACACACACACACACAAAACTACCAACATCGAAACGCACCTTATTTAAAATCTACTTACCACCCACTCATAGATAAATTATAAGCCATTAGACAGCCACAAGCACCACAGTGTTGATGATGAGAAGATAATGTGTGAAGTGGTGGGTGAGTTATACACGTAGGTTAATCTTGGAGTCATTATCGTGAGGTTGGTGGCGTTAATGAGGGCAAGGTCGAGATATTGAACCGGTTTCCTCTGCCTTATAGAAGGTTGGGTTGGGTTAGGTTAATATTTAATTTAAATATATTGGAGTGGATAATCTTCTGATGACCTGACCTTTATTATAATTATTATTATTATTATTATTATTATTATTTACTTTTGACCTCTTAACAACATTAAAGTAATTGGACTGTTCAATACAACTCTATATAAGGTCAATTAATATATGATGCTCCGAGTCTGATTGTTAATTTACGTGATTAAATGATAAACGAGCATAAAACATCAACTCATTACAATTCATAGTAATTTTTACACTGTTTACAGATATTTTGTGATAGCGATTAATGTTAAGAGTATAATATATATATATAATAAAACTCTATGATAGTCTAATTAATTTTAACTAGATTCATTAAGGCTAATTGTTGTATAAAGCTCTGGGAGTATGATTGGTGATCTAACTGAAAGGACAAGTTAAATATCAAATGAGTTAAAATGGAGGTGTTATTACTTCGTTAGTAAGAGCATTATAACAACTCGTTTAATTCTCATATAAAGCTCTGCATTAATCTCATTATACTCACCAAAACTATGAGTCTGGTTGATAATGGATTGAAATATTAGTACCTGTACAAGTATAATTGTTAAAAATATGATATAAAAAGCCTTATTATTATTATTATTATTATTATTATTATTATTATTATTATTATTATTATTATTATTATTATTATGCTTCGAGTCTGATTCATAATTCACGTGATTAAATGCATGTGTAAAATATCAGGTCATTAACATTAAAATAATTATGGTTATTATTATTCATGTGATTAATGAATGCAATTTATGTAGTGATGTTATAGATCTTGTTCAACTGATGGATAAATTACATAAATGAATAATGAATGTGTATGGCTGATTAAAACAAGGGGAGATGTACTGCATGCTATGAATAAATAAACCTAACCAAAGCTAACCAAACCTAACCAAATCTAACCAAACCTAACCTAACCAAATCTAACCAAATCTAATGTAACGTAACCTAACCTAAACTAATGTAACTGTCCTAACCTTAACCAAAGCTAACCTAACCTAACCTAACCTAACCTAACCATACCACCACCACAGCTAACCCTTCACCCAAATAAATAAATAAATAATAATAATAATAATAATAATAATAATAATAATAATAAAAATAATAATAAAAATAAATAAAAAACAAAATAAAATAGCATCCCACTCAACCATTGACCATTTTCTTTCTTCTGCTGTAGACTTAAACTAAATTTACCTTAAACAGTGTTGCCATGTAAAAAAAAAACTCAGCCAGCGAAAAACATCTCCTTTACCCACACCCCCGCCCCGCCCACCCCTGCCCACACACCTGTGTTTGTCTGTTTAACCAATTTAGACAAGAGGTGCTACGTATTCATGTTATAAACACCCCCCCTAGTGATGTGTCGTGTGTTTGTCGCCAACTCTGCCTGAACCAACACTGTGGGAGGTAGGATAATATTTGGTTTGTCTGTGTTTGGAGAAAGGGTCGCCGTGGTGTGTGTGTGTGTGTGCGTGTGTGTGTGTGTGTGTGTGTGTGTGTGTGTGTGTGTGTGTGTGTGGAAAGGTGAAATGTGTGTGTGACGGTGAAAAAAAAATGTGGAAAAGATTGAGTAGAAAGAAAGAAAGAGCAGAGAGAGAGATGTTTGTTTGTCCGTGTTTGGGTGATGGTGCATGGGGGGAGAGGGGGGTTAAAGGGGTGTGTGATGAATCCTGGGAAGGTGAAATGTGTGTGTGACAGTAAAAGAAATAGAGAGAAAGAGAGAGAGAGAGAGAGAGGTACAATCAATATGATAATCAGGGTGAGACTGAATTATTACCACAGTGCTGGCAAAACGATTCTGCTTGTGGACGAAAGAGCGAGAAACACACAAAAGTAAATAAATACCAAATGATTCAATTATATCTACGTACAGCAGTTGTCAGTGTCAGTATATTTCGCTCATTATCTCTTAGTTTCGTTCATCAGTCCTAGATTCCATTAAAAGACTCGTAACTATTGTTGTAATGTTAAAATTAAATATAAATCATGAATATTACATCAGAAGTTTCCATAGTTACACACACACACACACACACACACACACACACACACACACACACACACACACACACACACACACACACACACACACACACACACACACACACACACACACACACACACACACACTACACTCTCTTATATGTAACATATTCTCATATCTTTGTTAGTTAATCCGTCAATTAATTCCCTTTCCTGACCAAACAACTCTCACCTAACATAATAATGTCCAATAGCCTTCAATGTCTCCTGGCACTTACCCCTGGTCAAAACCTTTCCATTCACTCTCCAAGCATATTCTTCACCTCTCACCCCACTTACTTTCCTTAGCCCTCTCTCCCCTCTCTTCTCACCCTCTGTACGTCAGGCTGTTACACGCCATTGATCCAGACCTCTACCCTGTTAGTTATATACATACACACAGGAAGAATAACACACAGTTACCCCTTCAATTCCTCCGTTTTTCTTTCAATCAATTTTCATCCCTAGATATGATGCCCTGTCGCGCTCCTTCGCCCTGCCCCGCCCCACGACTAATATTTCAACCTCGTCAAATTTAACCCTTCCAGCGCCCTATAACATTGATTCTCCTATGGGTGATCGTAGTGAGTTAGCGAGTTCTTACCTTAGTTAAATTAGTTGAAGTAAGGTGGGTGGTCCGTTTATTACTGGGAAACTGTACCCACTGTGTGTGTGTGTGTGTGTGTGTGTGTGTGTGTGTGTGTGTGTGTGTGTAATTATGCTAATAATTAAATACAAATAATCCTTGAAAGACCATAATTTAAACTAAATTCCGATGTTAATAGAAACGTAACAACTCTGTAAATGCGAGTAAATACGAGTGAAAAAAAAACAAAGGGTTAACATTAGGTAAATTTAAAAACCCCACTAATTTAAGGTTTGATCAAAATTAACTAAAAGATGAACGGTATCTGATAGTTTATTTCTCTTTATTTAAACATATTTCTTTTTTTTTTTTCAATATTCCCTGTTAATAAATGTTATTGTTGATGTTTTTGTTGTTGTTTACTGAGGATGTTTATAAGCACCGTTTGAAATCTCCCCTTCCATAAAACTCTCTCTCTCTCTCTCTCTCTCTCTCTCTCTCTCTCTCTCTCTCTCTCTTCCTCTATCTCACCCTTCCATAACTCCTCTTTCCTTCCCTACCTCCCTTGTTTTCCTCACCTGTAATTATTCCTCTACATTCGGGTCGTCAGGGTCTAATCCTACTACCAGAGAGAGCTAAAAACAAAAACAGATGAACTTACCCCAAAAGCAAAAAAAAATCAATCAATCTTCAAAACAAAAACAATTAACTCACCTGTGGACAATAAGTTGAAGATGACGAGTATAAACATGGCAAGACTACACTTAGTTCTTGTATGTGTGAGTGTGGTGTAAGGGTGTAGTATTAGGCCCTGTGTATCTGGCAGGGCTGTGTCTCTCGGGGAGCTTGTGTAGCCATCTCCATTCATCTGTTTCTCTTCTCTCTTGTATTAATCTCTTGCAAAACATCATCCACTTGTTTTTTTTTGTTCTCTTGTTATTGTGTCTATTAGTATTTATAAGGTAATTTTTTTTCTAGTTTATAATCACAGTAAAGCTTAGGAGTAGATCATTTCATCTATAAAACATTAATTTTAGATATTTCAATTTCCACCTAAATAAATCCCGTCTATTTTTCACCTTCAAACACTGTTATATATAAAAGAGGTGGGGGGATTTCCTTCCAAACTTTTTAATCTGTCTTCAAACGTTGGCTAAAGATGTCACTTGATGATGTCACTTAATGATGTCACTTAATGATGTCACTTAATGATGTCATTATGATGTCAATTGCTGATGTCACTTAGGAGAGATGATTTTTAGCCCTTTAAAGTTTGACAAGAGGAGGTGAGTGTTTTGAGTCCTGCACAACAGACATCATTACCAACTGATGATCACGTCCGGGTGTTGGGCTCTCCAGGGTACTCAGAGTTTAATTACACACACACACACACACACACACACTTCTGGCTTCTGTGAGGGAGGTGGAATAGACTTGCTCACACGTAGACTGACTCACAAATCCTCATCGTCTGGATCACCGACTCATAACAACACTGGAATGGATAGAAAAAAGGTTATTAGTACTATACTTTTTCTATGATGGTGGAATGATTATTATTATTAGTAGTAGTAGTAGTAGTAATAGTAGTAGTAGTAGTAGTTGTAAGGCCTAGATTTTTTTATATTAGATTAAGAGCTGGAAAATAACCTAACCTAACCTAACCTAACCTTCCTAGATGACAGTGAAGTATTTAATCATCAGGTGCAATAAGCTGGTGCCGATGGGAGGAAGGTAGGAGGAGCCGAAGTGGAGGAAGAAGAGGAGGAGGGAAAGGAGGGAGGAGGGAGGTGAATCTTCAGGCGATCCTAATTACTAAACTCTGGTCCACATCACATTCTTCGGCTAAGAAAAATCATCCAATTCCTCCCGATGTTGAAAAGACTATCCCACCCCAACTCAAATTGAAATGGTACAAGGATGATAAAAAAAAACACAAGGTCTTTCAACTTCGGTAAACCACAAGGCTCTTCGTATTCTGAGAGAAGAAGACGAAGAAGATAGAGGTACAAGAAGAAGAAGAAGAAGAAGAGGAAGAAGAAGCAGACGTGTGAGACCTCAAGGGGGATGAAAGCCTTCCAGAGACCAATAAAAGGAAACTAATTCTTGAGGTTCGGGGCGCTAAACAGTTTCCTGGCTGGAGAGGGACTAAAAAACTTTTTCACGAGAGAGAGAGAGTACCGTAATACCCTCCCTGTTGGATCCAAGAGTTAAATGAGAGAGACAGACAGACAGACAGACAGACAGACGCAAAGAGAAAAAAACAAAACAATCGAGGCTTAAGAAAACACAAACTATTTCCTGATCCAAACAGACAGACATTAAAAAAAAAGAAGAAGAAGAAGAAGAAGAAGAAGAAGAAGAAGATCCATTTTGGCTTCTGGGAATGAACGGCGACAGACATACGTTCACTCCAGAATCACTCGGGTAAAAACATCTCAGAAGCCAATATACAAAGCCTTCCAGAGTTTGCCACAGACAAAAACGTTCCACGAGAACCCGAGTTAAAAACGTTGAAGCCCTGAGGTTCAGGTTTCCAGGCCGTGAATTTCCAGGATTGACGAGATGTATTGGGGGCGGCTGACCTTCTGACCCATCTCATGAAGGGCGGGGAGGAGGTAGGAGGAAGAGGAGGGAAGAAGAAGAAAGAAGAGGAAGAAGAAGGAGGAAGAGCAGGGAAGAAGAAGAAAGAAGAGGAAGAAGAAGGAGGAAGAGAAAGAAGTGAATTTTATCTATGAGTTAAAAGTAAAAAAAAAAAAAAATATTGATATTAATTCCGTATCATGAAAAAGAGATCTCGTTTATGTAAAGTATATAAAGTATGGAACAGACATACAGACACCCACCAGCCTCTGTTATCATTACCCAATCTTTTCAATTTCACTTCAGTTACATCTAGATCGCATTACCTTCTCTGCTTTCCTCTCCTCAAAATTGCTATCCAATCTCTTCCTCCTTCTCCTTCTTCTTCTTCTTCCTTCCTACCCCTCCCTCTCTCCTCCCTCCTTCTTCTTCCTTCCTACCCCTTCCTCTCCTCCTCCTCTACAGGCTTCCTCAGGACAAGAACTTAACTAAGATGTCGTGAACTGTCAATGGTGTGGCTACCTGGGATCACTCTTCCTCCTCCTTCCCTCTCCTTCTCTCTCTCTCTCTTCCTCCTCTTCCTACTCCTCCTCTTTCTCCTCTTCCCCACCCCTTCCTCCTTCATCTCCTTCTCCTCCTATTCCTCAACCACCTCCTCCTCCTCCTCCTTCTTCCTCATCAACCTTCTCCTCCTCCTCCTCTTCCTTCTTCTACCTTCTCCTCCTCCTCCTCTTCCTTCTTCTACCTTCCTCTTCCTCCTATGCTTCCTTCTCCTCCTCCCATCATTATCCCTATTGTGTTATCTTGTGTTTGTATGTGTTTTTTTTCATATAATTTCAGTGTTTTTTTCGTTTTACTATTCATTTTTGTATTAATTTATTACATCTGTTCCCGTTTTTTTTGGGTGTGTAATTCTGTTTTTTATGCTTTTATTGTTATGTTTTCTTGTTGAATTCTGACCTTTTCCGTTTTTCGTGTTTTATTATGCTTGTTTTGGGTGGGGTGTGTTTTGGTTTGTTTATATTTCGTTTTAATATATATTATTTTTGGTAATATTTCTGATACATCATAACTGTGTTTTTTTTTGGTGTTTGTTTCTGCCTTTTATATTTGTTTGTTTGTTATTTGGTGTACATATGTTGTGTTTTTTCGTTTGGTTCGTTTTAAATTCCTCTCATACATTACCACTCATTTCTTTCTGTATTTTCCTTGTTTTTTTTTCTTTCGGAGAGGGGGAGGCTTGTGTCGCTATATACAATAATTAATTAATTTTACTTGTTTTCTGTTTTTATTTTAATTTCCTGTTTAGCTTATTCTTCTACAGGACGAACTAGCCTATTTTCTATTCCCAGGATATACTAAACCATATTAAAGAACTCTCTTTTCTACCATGAACTAAGCCGCGTTAAATCACTGTTATGTTTCTTCTCTAGGATGTACTAATTTTTTCTCCCAGGGTAATCTAGTGCCATTTTCTCCCAGGATGCACTAAACCACGGTATAACACGCCTATGTTTCTTTTCCCAGGATAAACTAGGCTTCTCTGATGACTTACCATAATATCTTTCTAAAAAGAAAAAAACTTTAAGAGTAAATCACGTTTTTCTTCCCAGGATGTTTATAACCAGGGTGATTTTTTCCCACTTTTTTCCCCTGGTAGTTTATTCCCGGCGGGAGTTAATGAATATATACCTGTATTTTATCTCGGCAGTTAATTAGCCGGGAGAGAATTTTTAATACCTGGGAACCGGAAGTCGAGTTTAAGGTAAATTATTTAGTTTTCTTCGTTGGTTAAGGGTGTGTGTGTGTGTGTGTGTGTGACACGAAAACACACATACACACACACACACACACACACACACACCATGATAGGAAAAAGTTTACGCTGCCACAAGACAATAAAACACACACAAGTACTTCTCTGACGGTGTTTTATTGGCTCCTCGCGTGTTTTACTACAAGCACATTTCCGGTGTTTTTTGTTTTTTTATCTTTGTAATTATGTTTAAGTAGAAGAGATCCGTCATTAGTGATTTACTTAAAAGGAATATTAGATGAACTCCATTTAAATTACCTGAGTGTGTACCTGTGTCCGTGCTTGTAGCTGTACCTGTGCTTGTACCTGTACCTGTGTTTGTAGCTGTACCTGTGTTTGTAGCTGTACCTGTGTTTGTACCTGTACCTGTGTTTGTAACTGTACCTGTGTTTGTACCTGTACCTGTGTTTGTACCTGTACCTGTGCTTGTACCTGTACCTGTGTTTGTAGCTGTACCTGTGTTTGTACCTGTACCTGTGTTTGTACCTGTACCTGTGTTTGTACCTGTACCTGTGCTTTAGCTGTACCTGTGCTTGTCCTGTACCTGTGTTTGTACCTGTGCCTGTGCTTGTACCTGTACCTGTGTTTGGCTGTACCTGTGTTTGTAGCTGTACCTGTGTTTGTAGCTGTACCTGTGTTTGTACCTGTACCTGTGCTTGTAGCTGTACCTGTGCTTGCACCTGTACCTGTGTTTGTACCTGTACCTTGCTTGTACCTGTACCTGTGTTTGTACCTGTACCTGTGCTTGTAGCTGTACCTGTGCTTGTACCTGCCTGTGTTTGTACCTGTACCTGTGCTTGTACCTGTACCTGTGTTTGTACCTGTACCTGTGCTTGTAGCTGTACTGTGTTTGTACCTGTACCTGTGCTTGTACCTGTACCTGTGTTTGTACCTGTACCGTGCTTGTTAGCTGTACCTGTGCTTGTACCTGTACCTGTGTTTGTACCTGTACCTGTGTACCTGTACCTGTGTTTGTAGCTGTACCTGTGTTTGTAGCTGTACCTGTGTTTGTAGCTGTACCTGTGTTTGCACCTGTCACTGTGCTTGTGGCTGTACCTGTGCTTGTACCTGTACCTGTGTTTGTACCTGTACCTGTGCTTGTACCTGTACCTGTGTTTGTACCTGTACCTGTGCTTGTAGCTGTACCTGTGCTTGTACCTGTACCTGTGTTTGTACCTGTACCTGTGCTTGTACCTGTACCTGTTTGTACCTGTACCTGTGTTTGTACCTGTACTGTGCTTGTACCTGTACCTGTGTTTGTACCTGTACCTGTGCTTTAGCTGTACCTGTGCTTGTACCTGTACCTGTGCTTGTACCTGTACCTGTGTTTGTAGCTGTACCTGTGTTTGTACCTGTACCTGTGCTTGTACCTGTACCTGTGTTGTACCTGTACCTGTGCTTGTAGCTGTACCTGTGCTTACCTGTACCTGTGTTGTAGCTGTACCTGTGTTTGTAGCTGTACCTGTGTTTGTAGCTGTACCTGTTTGTACCTGTACCTGTGTTTGTACCTGTACCTGTGCTTGTACCTGTACCTGTGTTTGTACCTGTACCTGTGCTTGTGGCTGTACCTGTTAGAGCCTGTACCTGTGTTTGTAGCTGTACCTGTGCTTGTACCTGTACCTGTGCTTGTACCTGTACCTGTGTTTGTACCTGTACCTGTGCTTGTACCTGTACCTGTGTTGTACCTGTACCTGTGCTTGTAGCTGTAC